GCGCATGAGCGAACCATGACCATACCAAAAGATGAAATATTAAAACAGTATAAAAACTTGACGTTTTTCCCTATAGTTTGTACACCACAAAGCTGCACTGCAGCATCCCCAAAAGTATATATATATATACTTATATAAATATATATATATATATATATATATATAAGTCTGAGGGTAGGTGAATGTACTGATTCTGATACGTCTAAATGACAGTGAAACTTAAACTTGACAGCCATATTAATTATTTGTATTTGATTATTTGTTTGCAGCTCGGCTTATGGCTCACTTGACAAAGAGCTAGGAGATAATGGCACATGGCGACAACAGTTAGTAAATGACAGGATATTAAGGCACAATTATTGAGCAATCACAGGACATGGCAGCCGCAACGTCAGCGACCCGTGAATTCGTAGAGGGCTGGACTCTAGCGCAGACGCTAGGTGAAGGCGCCTATGGCGAGTAAGTGGACAGCAATGCAATTCAACGTAATGCAATGCAATCAGAGGCCCAGACTGCATACTGTAGATTGGCTCGTGCGTGCTGAAGTCAATAAACCGGACGTGATGTGAGACGAAAATAGAGAAATCTCGCTTTTCCGGCGTATTTGATGCTGCTACTGTTGCTCCGCTATTGAGTTCCGAAGCTCATTTTTGTGTTGCGCGCATGCTCCAACTACGAAGCTTCGGTAAAATGGCAACAGGAGCACTGCACTGCATCCAGTCAAAGACAAAGACAGACTGAATGGGGATAGGGGTACAGGTGGGGGTGGGGAAATTCTCATTGTCGATTGCATTGACTAATTTTTCCGACAGCATACGATACTAACATAAAACTCACAGAGCAACCCAATTATTTGTATCTTTCTTGGCGCAGAGTCAAATTGCTTATCAATCGCCAGACGGGAGAAGCTGTGGCCATGAAAATGGTCGACCTGAAGAAGCATCCCGATGCCGTGATCTCAGTGCGCAAGGAGGTTTGCATACAGAAGATGCTACAGGACACACACATCTTACGCTTCTTTGGCAAACGATCCCAGGGGCATGTGGAGTATATCTTTTTGGAATATGCTGCCGGTGGAGAGCTATTCGATCGGATCGGTAAGTAGTTCGATGGTTTATATCATTAAGAAGTTAATCTAAGTTTTCATTTACATATTACAATTTGATGAAATATAATATCATTATACTCTCATAATTATGTTAACAAATGTAATCATTATGTCCATCTGTCTTTCAGTTGGAAATGTTAATCGATTTTACTTAAAAATTTAACTTTTGTAATCTTTAAACTCTTACAGTTTAATTGTATTTGCAGAACCTGACGTTGGCATGCCGCAGCATGAAGCACAGCGTTACTTCACCCAACTGCTCTCCGGTCTGAACTATTTGCATCAGCGTGGCATTGCCCATCGCGATCTGAAGCCTGAGAATCTGCTACTGGACGAGCATGATAATGTTAAAATCTCCGACTTTGGAATGGCCACTATGTTTAGGTATAATATATTAGAATACGAATCTTAGCTAATTTATGTAAATAGGGAGCCTGCCGAAGCCTTGAGGTTTGTTTTAACTTAATTGTATATTGGAATAATTGTCTGTGTGTCTGCACTAGGCAGGCTATAAATCTTTTCCAAAAAACAATTATACGAATATAAATCTGTGTCCATAAAATATACTTAATTTATATACATATAATTAAAAATAATATTTATAATTTAAAGTTGACCGAGGCAATGGCGAAGCAGTAGTTAGGTGTTAATAATCCTGCTATATAATATGGGCACAGCTTTAGTCACTCTAGATTTTCATATACAATTTATGTATTTTTTTTAATTGTGTTCCTCCTCTTATTTCAGATGCAAGGGACGAGAGCGTTTACTAGATAAGCGCTGTGGCACACTTCCTTACGTGGCGCCAGAGGTGCTATTGAAGCCGTATCACGCACAACCGGCGGACATTTGGTCATGTGGTGTCATATTGGTGACAATGCTAGCGGGTGGTGAGTACAAAAAAACACAACTATGCACCAACACTTTTTGCCTGTTTACATGACTAAAAAAAAAAAAGCATATTCAATAATAAAAGAAAACATTTGCATATTGTTTCCTCTTCTGTCGCTCACATTGCTCGTTTCTAATTAATAATAACGGCACTGTTATACACAGTCATTACGATTTGTCTATGTGATTTTTGTGTTGTTTTTTATACATATATACAATATATAACTCACTGTTCTATATGTTTTTTGTCTCACCCACACAATTGCCACTCTTTCATTTTTGCTGTTTCTTTGGTATTCTAGCTGTAGATTGTTTTCACATATTGTATCATCTAAAGCTTTTATACCAAAGCTCCAGCTTAAATTGCTTGACACCGCCCAACCGCTCGCACAATCCGCCAACATCAGTAAAACAAAATAATAAATAAATAAGAGAACAAAAAAAAAAAAAAAAAAAAAAACAGTTCCTTAAACTGTTTAGTGCACGAATTAAACTAAATGTTCATGAACTTTTCTAATTTGCACGGAAGAAAAACAACCAAAACTCACAGAATTCCCACGCTTTGCTAGCTCTTGCAATTAACTCAACTCTATATATTGACGTTTCACAGAACTGCCCTGGGATCAGCCTTCGGCCAGCTGCGCGGAGTTCATCACCTGGAAGGATAACGATCGCTGGCAAACGCAAACGCCATGGAGCAAATTGGACACTTTGGCCATCTCGTTGCTGCGCAAAGTGCTGGCCACCAGTCCGGGTGCGCGCCTGACGCTGGAAAAGATCCTCGATCACAAATGGTGCAACATGCAGTTCGCCGAGCATGGTAAGAACTCAGGCTCCATCAATATAGCTAGAGAGTGCCCGATTCATGATGTCCAGCACACGCTGCAGCTCAGGTACTTAGTGACTCTCAATCACATATTGCTTTGCATACTTTGAGGGTCGCTCTGTGCCTGTGCCGCCCGTGTTGCACACAGCCACACAATTGTGAATTCGAGTTCGAACTCCCCGGACTAGAGAATACAAGTGCAAGTGTCTTGTAATGTAAACGTGTTTTTAAATATTCGCCCCATTGCCGTTGCTTTGGCGCTTTAGCTGTATGATAGATTTAAATACTTCATAAAGCTAGATTACCAAAGCATTGGCTCTGTGGCCAAACCCCAGCGAACTTGTGAAATAATCGAACATGCATGTACATATATATTATTTTTATAATATAATTTGGTTTGGCTTTTTATTTTGCATATTATTTGTTCTTTGGTGATTTTAGCTGTATGGTGTGCGCGTATTCCATAGAGCTTTATTACCAAAAACCAAATGGTCTTTGCATTGCTTTCTTTTCGTTTATTCAGTTAATTGCGTTTTTATTTTTGTTCATGCAATCTTTCTGTGTGTTCGTTTTCGATTACTTCTAATGGCGTTGACGCGTCTCTTTTGCAGATCGTTCCTATGATATAGTTGACTCCGCCGCTGCTTTGGAGATTTGCTCGCCCAAGGCTAAACGACAGCGGCTGCAGTCGAGCGCTCATTTGAGCAATAATTTGGATGATTCCATATCGCGCAACTATTGCTCTCAGCCGATGCCCACAATGCGCTGCGACGATGAGTTCGTGCCTCGATCGCGCAATACCAATGGCAATGGCCAAGAGGCAGACGAAGACAGACAGGCGCTGGCTCAGGAGGCACGGCTAACGTATTGCTTCTCACAGCCCGCGATGCTGGACGATTTACTGCTGGCAACACAAATGAATCAGACGCAACAGAGCGCATCGCAGAACTACTTCCAGCGCTTGGTGCGCCGCATGACCCGATTTTTCGTGACGACCCGCTGGGACGACACCATCAAGCGGCTGGTGAGCACGATCGAGCGCCTGGGTAGCTATACGTGCAAGGTCGGCGACGATGGTGTCGTTACAATCTCAACTATTGATAGACGTAAGCTTCGCCTAGTGTTCAAGGCTCACATCATTGAGATGGATGGCAAAATACTCGTCGATTTTCGACTGTCGAAAGGCTGTGGCCTCGAGTTCAAGCGACGTTTCATCAAAATCAAACTTGCTCTCGAGGATATTCTGCTAAAGGGACCAACAACTTGGCCTATTGCCATTGCTACCAATTCGGTGCCCTAGCTATGACAAATTAGGCATAGATAGATGTAGTTTTTAATAAGCATATCACCTGGTTTACTAATCAGACACTTTTTTATATCACGTTTTTTAACATCATATCTAAAATAAGTACATCAGAAAAATCTTTTAGTTTTGTTAAATGTTGAAAAGTATTTTAACTCTAGTTAGCTAAACGTTATAAAACAATAAATTGACAACGATTATGCCAAGTTGTTTTTAACAATTTAAAATTCTCTGCGATTAATGTTTTATCTGCTTTATGTTCAAACAATATATAATACAAATTATCGATCCTTTGAAAACTATAAAAAATATACATATAATTATGTTTATCTTGCTGTTTTATTGTTTCTCTTGGATAACAAATCAATTGAATTATTTCGCAAATCATGAGTAAATTTCATAAATTATGAAATGATTTCGAAAATCATGCAATGATTTCATTAAACATTTCAAATATTTTCATTACATTGCATACTTACGTCGCATTTCAAAATTCAGTCGATATATGTTTGTTAAAATAATTACTCAGTTTTTGAAAGGCCAGCGATTCCAAAGTTCCATTTCAAAATATTGTATATGCTTGATTTCAAACAAATATTCAGCTGGTTACCAAAAATTTTTTGATAACCTTCTATAAAGGTCGAATATTTTAATATTTGGACACGCTCTTCACAAAGGCCTTGAAATTTCCATTTCTATAATATGAGTGAATATCTTTCCAATGAGAACGTTAAATTAAATAAATAAAAAATTTGGTTTTTATAATTTTGAAGTCTTAATTTAAAATATATAATAATTTGAAATAAATATTAAATGTTAAATTTTAATTTGCAAAAACCGAAAAGTGATTTCAGCGAAAGACTTGAGAAACATATATTTTCAACAATATTTATTTCACATCTACTAACACTTGAATAAAATGTATTATATGTCTGCTTCTAGAAATTTATGCGCTGCTTTACATAAAGTTGCACAATCAATGCTTAACATTGCGAACCAGTTACAATAATATAAGGGAGTTGAGAGGTCAATCTTTATTTAATTTTCACACTGATAATGTTGCTAAAAGCGCCGTACATCTGGTTAAATATCTTCGCGTAACCCAAACATACGTGTATATAAATAGTGTGTGTATCATAGTACTGATAACAGTAAATATATGTAATTTTGTTTAAATAACGATGCAATTTTGGGGCATAATAAATCGGTTTGTATTGTGCGCCAGACACAAATCTACACCAAATGGACACCTTTTACTTGGGCGCTTGCGCCTGAGTTTGCGTTTGCGCTTTCTGCTTTGGTATTTGTTCATTCGAGTGGGTGCTTGGTGTTTTATTGGAATTTATAAGAAGCGAGATTTACTGTGGTTTCCTGAAGTTCTTGCCAGCGAACTTAACGCCCTGGCCAATCTCCTCCTCAATACGCAGTATTTGGTTGTACTTGGCTAGACGCTCCGAGCGGCATGGAGCGCCAGTTTTGATCTGACCGGTGGAAAGACCAACGACCAGGTCACCGATGAAAGAGTCCTCGGTTTCACCGGAACGGTGAGACACCATGGTGCCCCAGCCATTCTTCTTGGCCAGCAAATGAGCTTGAATGGACTCCGTCACTGTACCGATCTGGTTGACCTTAAGCAGCAGACAGTTGCAGGCTTTCTTCTCGACAGCAGTGGCAATGCGCTTAGGGTTTGTGACAGTCAAATCATCACCGACAATCTGAATTTTGGTGTTGGCAGTCAGATTGGTCCATGCATCCCAATGATCCTGATCGAAGGGATCCTCAATGGACACAATGGGAAAGTCCTTGATGAACTCCTGATACAAGTTAGCCAATTTTTCGGGCGACAGCCACTGTGCCTTATCACTCTGGGGATTCTTGAAGTCCAAATCGTAGAGTCCATCCCTGAAGAACTCAGATGCGGCAACATCCATGCCGATCTCGATCTATAAAATACAAAAGCATACGAAAAATATAAAATAAATTTTCGACATATTGAAGAGAATTCAATTACTCACCTTGCCAGTATAGCCAGCCTTGGCAATGGCGTCGTTGATGAGGCACAGAGCCTCCTTGTTGGACTGAATATTGGGTGCGAAACCACCCTCATCACCCACTGCGGTAGCATCCAAGCCGAACTTGGCCTTGATAACATTCTTCAAGTGATGGTACACCTCAGAGCCCATTTTCATGGCCTCAGTGAAGCTGGTGGCGCCAGTTGGCAGGATCATGAACTCCTGCATAGCCAGCTTGTTGCCAGCATGGCTACCGCCATTGATGACGTTAAAGGCAGGCACAGGCAAAATGATTTCCTTGTTGCCAGCCAAATCAGCGAGATGCCTGTACAGGGGCACGTTCTTCTTGGCAGCACCAGCCTTGGCCACGGCCAAAGAGACACCCAAAATGGCGTTGGCACCAAACTTGTTCTTGTTCTCGGTACCATCCAGCTTGATCATGAAATTATCAATGGCAGCCTGATCGGTCACATCCAGATTGGCCTTGATCAGCTCAGGGCCAAGAGTGTTGTTCACATGGCCGACAGCCTGCAGCACAGACTTGCCATGGTAATTGGCCTTGTCGTTATCGCGCAGCTCCAGAGCCTCATGCACGCCAGTCGAGGCGCCAGAGGGAACGGCTGCCCGGAACAGACCCAACTCAGTGGTCAAATCGACCTCGACGGTGGGGTTACCACGAGAATCGTAGATTTGACGTGCTTTGATCGACTTGATGGTCATGTTGCTTTGTTTAGAACTGCAAAACAGATTTAAAAAAAGGTGCGTTAATAATTATTTACCTAAAAGTTTAATTTACCATATAATTGTTACTTATTTGAGATTTTCGTTGATTTTTATTACAGACAAGAAAGCTTAATTTCGGCTTCCGTTATTCGAATAAGTAAATTTTAATAAAAACCATTTTATTCTGTACGTATTTGTGTAATTATTTATTACTTTCTCTTTTGATCTGCCGGTATTTGATCGAATTAAGAACAATCAGCAATTTCCCACCCGAAAGGAAATACTTTTTTCACAAGCGATATGTGAGAGCGCGATGGCAATAGCGCTCACCGCTGTACGAATGACCTCTACAGAGCGCTTTAAGGTCACAGCAAAAGTAATGAACTCAGAGGAACGCCGAAAAGTAAGCAAATTTTCGCGAATTACGATAAGACAATACAAAACATTTAACAAATTATTGCAATTTCTTTTCAAAGTAAACGAAAGGTATTAGTTAAATAGCATTATCAGATGTGTATATAAGTATTCACATTCCGAGTTTGCTTAAAAATACATAATAATGTATTAGATAACTGCAGCTTTCATAGAAAGCTAATTTCGCGATTGAAAACAATTGATATCAAATTGAAAGACCAATGCTACTAATATAACACAGTTATAATCTCACTTGAATACTTACCAAGAACTTTTAAATTTTATAAATTTAAATCCAGACGAGAGCGACTCTAGTGAGCTTCGGGCTTGGCTGGCTGATTTGCTACTGAAATCGTGTGTCGCACAACGCGACGAGGCGACGAAGTTTCTATTTCGGCTTATGTGGGTTGGCGCTGGTATCGATGATTGCAGCAAGGGGAATACGCGCACAGCTCGCGATACTAAAGTGTTGGCCATTGTTGTTGTGGACTGTGGAATCTAAATTGCCGCTATGATTGCGTATACGTACTCCAGGCAAGGTGCTGCGAGTGGAATTTTTCGTCGGTAAGCTGGCGGCCGGTAGGGATATATGATTGACCTTGTGCGAAGGTTAGCCGTAATGGCATCCACATGTGGCTTCCATTCACTTTAAATCTGGTTCAACCTTTGGGAGACACAGAATATTTCAAATTCTTTATAAAAATAACTAAGAAACCATAATAATAATTTTATAAATAATATAATACGTTATCCATCGGCGATGTGCTAGCACTTTCCAGCACTGTTTGTGTTGCAGCAGCAACATCGATATTGCTTTATCGATATTAAATCAACAATCTGTAGAGCACGCGGCCGGCATTGTTTTGGATCTTTATTATTATTGCTAAACATAGTATGTCTGAAAATACAAGTGTTATTATGCCCGGCGAGCGTGTTCGGGTTGTGGAAGACGCAGCGAAAAACAAACGAGTCATTCTAGGCCCAGGACTAAGAAGATTGGACGATAAAGTTGTAGCCAGCAAGGCGGGACCACTCCGGCACAAAGATCCAAACACATTTTGGGTGGACAACTATCAGCGGCGTTATGTGCCAGCGAGAGGAGATCTCATTATTGGCATAGTGAAAGCCAGAGTGGGCGATATATACCGCGTGGATATTGGCTCAGCGGACACGGCTGCAATTTCCTACCTGGCCTTTGAGGCAGCCACTAAAAAGAATCGGCCTGATCTGAATCCTGGTGATCTGCTTTACGCCCGCGTTCTCAACGCCAATGCAGACATTGAGCCGGAGTTAGTGTGCGTGAATTCGAATGGCAAACGCGGCAAACTAGGTGTTTTACAAGACGGATTCTTTTTCAAATGCAGCTTAAACCTGGCCCGTCTGTTGCTGCGCGAGAGCTGCCCAGCCCTCGCAGCCCTCACAGACGAGCTGCCCTTTGAGATCGCCGTGGGCGTCAATGGGCGGATCTGGGTGAAGGCGCACTCAATGCGAGAAACGGTGGGTCTAGCGAATGCGATTATGAGCCTAGAGCAAGCGGGCTATGCGGAGATCGATAAGATCTGTGGGGATCTGAATAGTGTGATGCAAACGTGATTAATTAATGCAAAATTACAAAGGATTTACTGTTAACACAATCTTGGCTCTGAAAACTGCAAAAAAATTTATATATAAATAATACTTTAAACTAAGAGAAATATACAAAAATTAAGAATTGTCTAACTTAGTAATTTACGCCTACTTTTATATAAATATTATGTAAATTCAATGAAGAATACTTACGATCATTTTATACGTACTATGGTTTAATCAATTTGATCATATATTTTGTCATAAATTTTTAGCATTTCCATACTTGCTCTAAATAATTCCAAATATAACTTCCGATATTTAGCTCATCACGCATCACGCTTCCTTCCTATTAAATATCGATGATCCACAGACAAGTCAGCTGATGTATTATCAGACTACAAAAGGAAAGTTTACGTTTAGAGTGCAGATGTGACGTTGCATGTGTTACGTTACAGTTCATAATATGTCTTTCATTGAATTTTTATTCATTTTGCTAATTCTCTACTATTTCGTATACGTTTTGCTCTGGATAATACTGGACTGTAATGTGGCATTATGGTACAAATCTCGTTTTGGAAACTCGATATCCACAATGCGCGGACAGGTGGTTTGGATAACAGGTGCCTCAAGCGGCATTGGCCGCGCCTTGGCGATTAGCTTGGCACGCCATGGCGTACGCCTAGTGCTCAGTGCGCGCCGTCTTGAACAGCTGGAGCAGGTGCAGACCGAATGCTTGGCTGCGGCGCGTGGCCTATTGGCTCAGAAGGATGTGTTGATTCTTCAAATGGATATGTTGCAACTGGACAAGCATCAAGCTCATCTCTATACCGTGCTCAATCATTTCGAGCGACTCGATGTCCTGGTGAACAACGCGGGTCGCTCACAGCGCGCCAACTGGGTAGACATTGACATCCAGGTGGATCGTGACCTATTCGAGCTGGACGTGTTTGCTGTGGTGCATCTATCCCGCCTGGTTGTGCGCTACTTCCTGGAACAGAATGGCGGACGCGGTCACATTGCAGCCACTTCGAGCATAGCTGGCTTCAGCCCGGTGCCCTTCTCTGCAACCTACTGTGCCGCCAAACATGCCCTCAATGCCTATTTTACTTCACTGAAGTTGGAACAGCGAAAGTTGGATGTAACCATATTTGCCCCTGGTCCCATCGCCACAGACTTTTTGATGGAGGCATTCACGGGCAACAAAGGTGAAAAGGTAGGCGATAGCACAGCCAATCAGAAGCGCCTAACGGCGGAACGCTGTGGAGAGCTCTTTGCGGTGGCCATCGCCAACAAAATGGATCTAACTTGGTGTGGTCTGTTTCCGGTTAATGCGATGGCCTATTGCGGTCGCAATGCCACGCTCACCAAAATTTTGGCCCAGTTCATGACCGAGAAGACCTTGATGAAAATTCGAGACGGCAAGCTATGAGATCGTATTTTGATAAGAAACCTTTACTTATCTATAAAGAAGCAAATGTAAATTAGATAAAGAAGTTTATTTTGATCCAAGTGCTGCTTTGACGTGCTCTGGAATTTTGATGCGTTTTCTTTTGGTCTTCAGCTGTGTTGTCTGTTCTACTTGCTGGAGGCTGGGCTTATTCGCTTTTTTGCTCTTTTTACATGAAAGCGGATTTGGATTCTTTGGTCCCTTGACTTTTTTCGGCTTAACGGGCTCAGCTGGCTTTAAGCCCTGTTTCTCTTTCATATATTCGATCTTCTGTTCGTGTTGGCCCAGCATCAATTTCTTGGCTTTCTTTTGGACCCATTTCTTGGACGCATCCGAGGGCGCCTCCAGCACTGGCGTCGCTTTGTGCAGGTAGAGAAGGCAACGTCCGGGCACTTTACGAAGACTTGCCTGTAGCAGACGATCCTGTGTTGCAACTATGTAGCGATTGTCCTTCGTCTGCAATTTAAATTGTGAAAAGTGGTTGACTCGACTTGGAAATACGCTATCCTACCATCGATTTAAGACACTGCGCAGCTGCAACAGGTTTGCCTTCGTGCCCGCATTTGTGCACATAGAACTGCTTGACAATCGATAAGGCGCCCAACAATGGAGCTCCTACTGCCTCGGCTTCGAGTATGACGCATTGCGTAGTTAAAAGTTTCACATTACATTGAAAATATTTTTTAATTTGTTCATCTATTCCGATCTTGTGCTAAAAGTTGAGAAAATGTATAATTTCCGTTTCTGTTTGAGCGCACCTACGCAACTTACCTGCAAAGCAGCCTGACAGAACGTAGCGTCAATAAGCACCTGATACGGTTCACGGTAATCAAAGTGCGTTGCAAAAAATGCAAGAGTTTTGTGAGACTTTTTAAATCGTGAGATCTTCATCACGTTGTTTTTAGTTTATCAACAAAACACTAAATTGTCGATAGACAACCTATCGATAAATTGAATGTTAATATGTACGGCTTATCGATGAATTTCTATTAAAACCATTTATTTTACTTTAAGTTTTGTTTTGGTAGTAATTTACGAACAATGTGCTTTAATTATGTCAGATAATAGAACATAAATTAGCTCTTTGAATCATCACAATATTATTTCATTACCAATCGCCGTCCACCACAACTGTTAGTGATGACGCTGCCAACTTACGCAAAAGTATATGGGATTGACATTTGAAAATTTCAATATTGGCGCAAAAATTAAGTGTGCGTACTTTCAACCACCTTTCTGTTTTCACCCTCTGCCATTGTTGCGCGTTCTGTTTTCGTTTATGTTTTCTGTTTAGTTATATTTATAGCGCCGTTGCAAGCGGTTTTCACATTTTTTACGTCTTATTCGAACTGATATAAGTGTATATATCTAAATATATATATGTGCATATATATATATAGAACGCTATATTCTTTAAAATAAGCTGAATTTCATTGTTTAATGCGGCGGTCTGAGTCAGAGCTGTTGTAGTAAAAGTGGTATGGTGTAAGTGATACATTGATCATTGGTTAAGATTAAATTAAATAAAAGCATTTCTCATTGAGTTTAAAGCAAATTGAAAAAATACTTGATTCAAATGATTAAAGGAACATGTATGTACGAAATTATTAAATTACTTTAATTCTGACGAATAATAAGATATTATTTTTATTTTTAAGACATCAGCTGTTATTAGATATTATCACATGTATATTTATATTTATTTAATCGCTTGTCATCAAGATTTCATGTTTGTTCAATTGCGTGAAATGATTAAGCTTTATAGGCAATGCCCATAGGAAATAATAAATCAACATCGTTCCGATAACCCAATGGGAACTTCGAATGGGGGCGTTTCACTTGGGCTACCCCCATGATCAATCCGAAAGTTATTAAGCTAATGTGAACCGTGAGCGAAGCAAGAAAATCAATAGCTATTAATTAACTGAAAATGACTAATTGGGGTGAAATCATTTTTCAGGCACGTATTTGGTGAAGCTAGGCGTAGTGCATGTCTGCATAAATGTTGATCAAGCCTCAAGCCTCTTTCACCTCTTTAAACGTTAAACTCTTTGAAATGTTAAGTATATGTATATCTATTTATATATATAATATTATTATATTTCTACTGCCAACTTTGCAAAGATTAAGAGTAAGAGTATCAATTGGAGCCAAACTAATTGATAGGAAAGACGTCTGAAGGTTCTTCGAGTAGATATAGAGACAATCGGCACACTTTTTTTTTTGTGTGTTGCTTTTGTTAATTAGATATAAGGCAACTCATTGTATATAGCTCATTGTATATAGCTCTTTTTGGTTGTTGTTTGTTTTTTTATTATTGCTGCATTGTATATGATTATCGGTCGTATAATCCCCTCATTATAAGTTCGCCCACTGAAAGC